CACGGGCCCAGCCGCTCTGCGTCATGTGGGATCTTCCCGGACCGGAGCACGAACCCGTGTCCCCTGCGTCAGCAGGCAGACTCTCAACCACTGCGCCACCAGGGAAGCCCTTAATCTCATTTTTAAATGAGAAAACTGAGACTCACCACTCTTGTTCTGTGGCTTCAAATCAAAATCTGTTCTTTAATTCAATGCATTTGTTGAGCCCCTACTACGCATTGGCAGGTGCTCTTCAGCATGATAAACAGACTACCAAGGACTCTGCTTCGACACAGCTTCTACTCCAGTGGGGAATACACATAACAAACTTTCAGAGTGTGATAAGTTATACAGACAGAAGAGGGACAAGGGGAGCTATTTTGTACTGGGTGGTCAGGGAGGGTGTCTTTAAGACCAGAATGAAGAGAGCCAGTATGTGAAGACCTGAGAGAAACGCTCCAAGAAAAAGTAATATAAGTACAAATACACTAAGAATGGAATGTGGTTGAAGTGGTTTAAGAACAGAAGGAAGATCTGCATGACCGGAGTACAGCAAATAAGGGGAAGAGTGTAAGGAGATGAGATTAGAGAAGGGGGAGTGTGCGGGGCCTTGATGTCACAGTTAAGTACTCTGAATTTTATTCTATGTGTGATGTGAATTCACTGGAAAATTTTAAAGAAAGGAAGGACATAATCTGATTCAAGTTTTTAAAAGACTGCTATGGACAACATGCAGAAAGACTGCAGGGAAACAAAAATGGAAGATGGGAGACCAGTTAGGGAAGCATTACACAAGTGGTCCAGGCAAAAAATGCTGCCAGCTTGGTTTAGAGCAGGAGCAGTAGACATGACAAAAGTGGGAGTATTTGGAATCTATTTTGAAGGTGAAATTCACTAATGGATTGAGTTAGAAGGACAATAAAAAAGAAAACTGAAGGACTGTTCTGAAGTTTTCAGCTTGTGGATATGAGTAAATGGCGGTACCATCTCTGGAATAGAGAAAAGTAGAGGAAAAACAGATTGAAGTTTTTATTTGCCACTAGATATATTTTCCCTCCCCAGAGTTTGTGAACACTTTCTACTAAGCCTGTGCTCTAGAGCCCACGAGCCACAACTACTGAGCCCACATGCCACAACTATGGAAGCCCGTGTGCATAAAGCCCATGCTCCGCAACAAGAGAAGCCACCACAATGAGAAGCCCACGCACCGCAACGAAGAGTAGCCCCCGCTCTCCACAACTAGAGAAAGCCCGCGCACAGCAACGAAGACCCAACGCAGCCAAAAATAAATAAATAAATAAATTTATTTTTTAAAAATGTAAAATTTTGTTGCATGTAACATTCATCCTAAAGGTATTCGTTCTCCAATATATGGCCTTCACATCCCAAAGGAAAATTACTTTCTGACTGCTCCCATTCTACATTTATACACCACAATATTTTAAGTCTTTAAGATAAAATAAGTTAGAAAAACTAAAAATGTGGGTCAGGGAAGAGAAAAAAAAAACTTGGATGCTTGAAATAAGACATTTGGTAATTTTTATGTAACAAATTCCTACCTATTTCTAAAGAAACTACTTCTTAACTTTCAACCTTTAAGCAGGGAAACTCAATGAAACTCAGACCAAATTCTGAGTCGGCTCTCTGAATTCCTCCTACAAATATACCTGGGCTCCCTATTCCCTAAGAATGCTGGAGTACAGTTCTAAGAGCCAAGGCTGCTTTGCTTCCGATTCCTTTCCCAATCCCAAGACTTAAAAATCCCTATTCCTGCTCCACACCCAGTTTCCTCCTTGTCCTAATTATCTTCAAAAGGAATATAGAAAAAGTATGCAGAAGTAAATTCACATGTATTCAAGTTTCACATAAAAGAAATTAAAGGTTACTGGATCATGGCTTCCCTGCCTCAGCTTTCTGTAGCAGCACTGTCTAACTGAATTCACTGTGACAATACAAATATTCTACATCTACACTAACACGTAGCCTCTAGCAACATGTGACTACTGAGCACTGGTTACTGTAACTGAGGAACAGCATTTTTCATTTCTGTGGTTTAGTGCTACCATACTGGATAGTGCAGCTGTACATCTAATCAGGGATCTCTCAAATCCTTCTTCGAAGCTTTTCTTGTCATCAAGAGGTGAAAACAAACCCCTCTTCTGATCACTGCTCTACCAAAGTAACTATCACTTCTAAATTGCAAAGCTAATTTATAATTTAATTTAAATAGTTAATATTGATTTATTGCTTTAATAGTTACTTAAATCTTCTACTGTTAACTTTTCATTTCTTTCAGGCTTTGTTCCTAAATTTGAAGGCAAGGGTATATCAAATACCCTGAGAGTAAGGTCCTCCACAAAGCATTCAGTCAAATGTTAATCAAAGGAGATAAGGGAAAGACAGAGGTAAGAAAGATTAAGTTAGGAGATTTTCTGCAAAGAACCCACACATTATTCCTCTTCTGCATTACTAAAAGCTCAAAATACAGATGAGTTCTGGATAGGTTCCTTGCCTAGCAACATGGCTCAATGCTCTTGGGGGAGTTTTTCCTGCTTTCTCTTCACACCTTTAGGAAAACAGTATCTTAGCTCATGAAGGGAAACTGAAATGAACCTAGGTCTAAACCAGAATCCAGGCTCCCCCTGAGGCCTCAAGGGGCTCCTTCCTAAATAGTTTCTAGTAAGTCAGATAAAATACATTTCCCCAAATGGTGTCAATGAGGCAGATGGAGTACAATGAAGGAATAGAGAAAGAGAGCACCATCACTCTCTCCCCTACCCCAAACCAAAGAGGATAAGGAAAAGAAAAAATTGTAGTCAACCAAAAGTAGCCTCTGTGGCATCGATTTCTATTGCTACTATGGCTATATAATTTATATGCTATTTTAACCTTTTGAAAAGAAGACTTCAGCCATTTTTACCTGTCATAGATTATTACCATGTCAAAGGGAAACTTTTTACCCTAAGGAAAAACTACTTATTTTCTAAAGAATGTTTGATTAAAATATAAAAAGTATAACTCATTCTAATTTATTCTAAGTGGAAAGAAACTTGATTTCCAATCGCTGAACACTGCCCATTTGAAATAAATAAAGGCCAGAGCACGAAATGACTTCTTTTCTATATGCTTCTCTCCAAGAATCAAACACAACAGATGAACTGGCATTTAAAAAACTTAGATGTTTCATCAAACACTTAAGGGTACTTAATGCAAAAGCACAATATTAGGTGCCCAATAAATGATTCATGTCACAACCCAAAATCCAGGGTTGTGATCACAGCAGAATATCTTTAACATAGGTGTGTTTTTATCCTCTCTCCATACACTAGAAAAGAATGCTACAATGTTCTGGAGGAGTTTCTACCTTAAAATCTATGTATACCTACACATTTGAAAACAGCAAAAGATAAGAACATTAACTTTGATGTTAGTGAAGGATGGCCAACTGCTAAACTCGATTCCTTCTCTTGAGCTTATTTCAAAAAATAAATAAAATAACCCATAGCTCTGTCCCATCAAGGAGGGTGGGGGTGGGGTGTGGGGCAGGAATCAGTCTTCCCTAAGTTGCTCTACTGCTTTACAGTTTTGCAAGAGCCAGAATTTGTTGAGAAGGTGATGACTCCACCTTGTTCCATAAACTAATTTCCTTTGGTATTGTGGAAGAGCAGAGTACATTAATTCCTGGTTGATTTCTTTACAGATTGTGTCAGAAATTAAGAACTTCCTTTAAAATAAAGAATTAAGTCTTTTAAACCAAATCTTTTTATAATTTGAGGAAACTGGTTGCAAGAATCAGATAATGTAACTTGAGCAGAACACATTTTAACTTCTACCAGATTCACGTATGTAAAATAAACAAATATTTTTGCCAAAGAAGTATTCTATAATTTAGCTGCCTGATAGAGCTATTTTTCTTTTGAAGTTTTAAGGATATTAATACAGTCAAATTGGAAAAGTACAAATTTCAAGTGACAAATCAATATCTAGCTATAGATATTCTATGTCCACACACCTTATATTTTATTTAGTTAAGCAGTAGGAGGGTGTATGTGTGGAAAAGCAGATGAAATAAGGAATATAAAGGATCATCACAGAAGGGAACCAAAAAAAGAAAACCCCACTTATCTTGGGAAGAAGTAACTGGATAAATAAAACCATGAATATAAATCCTTCAACCAAAGGTAAGGATACAAATTTAACTGAAGCCAATAAAGATCTTTAAATAATCCAACATCTGGTGCCTACATGAAATGAATTGGTGATCTCAGTTCAGATATCCTGGAGGTCTTATTAATGTGAGTGTACAGTACTGAAGGTAACATGTATAAAATAAATTCCATTTCAGATATGGGTAAACAGCAATTACATTAAATTACTATTTTCACAAGATATCTGAAATGGTTCAAAATTATTTAAAATTTTGCTACTTCCAAAAACAAGTATTAAATAATACCCATTATGCCTCAAACGCACATACATCAAAAAATACATACTAAAACTTATTTACTTTGTGGGATTTTTTTTTAAGTATACTACAAATTCTGAGGTTTCAACCATCAAGAATTTTTCTCTTTAATTTTATTAAGAAAAGCTCTCACGTTAGCAAAGAGAAGTTAAGGAAATCCCCAGTCTATTTGGTATAATATACAGCACTATCAATCCCTCAAATAAAAAGTGTGCCAAGCTATACTGAATATTAAGCAGGCTTATCAATAGTTAATAATTATTAAAATCAAATGAAATTTTTTAAATACTCAAGTTGAACAGCATTACTTGTTAGAAGAGGTTCAATAACACTTTAAAAATATAACTTAAATTCAAAAATCCCACAACATACACCAGCCAGAATAAATTTGCTGGGTTTTATGTTTGGCTCTGTTTTAAAATAAGCCTGTATATATACTACAAGGGCTTTGTATATATTACCATTTCCTAAAGACAAAAATTTTCAATGACTTAAATTTGGCAATTCATCTCTAATTATCTGATTCTGCATTTTAAAAGTCATGAATTGCACTTACCACATATTTTACAGCACTTATAAACTGGTTGTGGAAGAGCAGATGCTGTGTTTCATCTTCTGGATTTGAAGCTGTGTAAAGCATGCCACAAACATTACAGGAAACCGCTCCAAATCTTTTTTGTCCTGCATCCTATTTATAAAAAACAAACAGAAGGTTTTTTCCCCCCCAAAAGAATAATTCCAGAACATCAGCCTCTAAAGCTATAACATGAACATAGAGTGAGAAGTGTTTAAAATAACAGTCAATGTTGATTATAAAAACTAAGATGTTAATCTTTGAAATCTGTATGTAATTTTATTAAGAACTGTTTTCCACTTTAGTAGTCACTCACTCCACAGCATTTAATAACAACTGAAAGGAACTGAGAAGTATCTTTAACACTACAATCTTAGTTCTAAAGCCCCAAACAGCAAATACCTTATAAATAAGAACTAGTATGTATTTTGTATCTGTGAATAATTATACTGCTGAAGTTTAGAAGAAATAATGTTTCATAGACATCTTTGGTTTTGCTCTAGGTATATTAAAAAGAGTATTTATGTCACCAGAAACTCTTGAGAAAAGGTAAAATTAAACATTTTCTATTTTCTTTATATCAAATAAGTATGAAAGTCTGATTATAATCACCTGTACTCCAGTAATTCATACTTGTGCTGTAGAATAGTAATTGTTTACAAAAGGTTTTCTATTCTTGTCCTTATTTAATAAGAAAAATTACAGCAATATGATCTAACTTTAAGAATAATACATTAACTAAAAAAAGCATAATTCCTTTATTTTCCCTGCTCTAAAACTGTATAATTTCAACTAATTACAGGAAAAAAAAAGGATCTCAGATAACTGTATGCTAGTGCCTTACAGCTAGGGTCACAGAGCAGAGAGAAATCAAATGGTAAATAAAAGATTGTATAAAACTAAAGGGAAGTTCATTCTAAAAGATTCAAACTATTGACAAAATGTTACCTGAAATTTCAGGGAGTTAAAAAAAAATTTTTTTAATTGTGGTTAAGATATAAGACATAGTATTTACCATCTTAACCATTTTTAAGTGTACAGTTCAGCAGTATTTAGTACACTCACATTGTTGTGCAACCAATCTACAGAATTATTTTCATTTTGCAAAACTGAAACTCTAGGGACTTCCCTGGCAGTCCAGTGGTTAGGGCTCCACACTTCCACTGCAGGGGGCACAGGTTCGATCCCTGGTCAGGGAACTAAGATCCCACATGCCGCAAGGAGCGGCCAAAAAAACAAAAACAAAACAAAAAACTGAAACTCTATACCCATTAAACAACAGCTCCCCAACACCGCCCCCCCCCAGCTCCTGGAAACCACCATTCTACTTTCCATCTCTATGAATTTGACTATTCTAGGTACCTTATATAAGTAGAATCATACAGTATTTGTCTTTTTGTGACTGACTTATTTCACTTAGATAATGTCCTCAAGGTTCAACCATATTATAACATGTCAGAATTACCTTCCTTTTTAAAGGCTGAATAATATTCCACTGTATACATACACAACACATTTTGTTCAGCCATTCACCCCACTGATGGACACTTCAGTTGCTTCCACCTTTTGGCTACTGTGAATAACGAATACAGGTATACAAATATCTCTTCAAGAAGGCAGTTTTCACAGTAATGAGTAAGCAGCTGCCTTAGTTTCCTCACTGGTAAATGGAAAATAATAGTTGTACCTATCTCATACTTTTTTATAAGGCTTAATAAGTGGAGGAGATGGAACAATGCCTTCAAAAATATTAGCTGCTATTATGATCATTAACATCATCATCATCACCATCAACTCTTGACCAGCACTATCCAATAGAAATGTGATCCACAAAGGTAATTTTAAATTTACTAGTAGCCACATTAAAGACTGCAAAAGCAAACAGGTAAAATTAATTTTAATAATATATATTATTTAACAAAACATATCCCAAATGTTATAATTTCAACATGTATTAAATATTTTTAAAAATTAGTGAGATACTTTACATGCATCTTTGTACTCATCTTTGAAATGCAGTACATATGTTTACATATAGAGCATACCTCAGTTGTGACAAGCAACATTTCAAGTGCTCAACAGTCACATGTGGCTACCATATTGGACAGGGCAGCTCTAGATTCTACTTGTCTAATCCTGTTTCACTATCATACTGATTTGACAACAGAAAGATTATTAAATTCGATGAAACAACTTTTTCCCTCACTAATCTTTCTCAAAAATTTCTAGAAAATTCTTACAAAGTTATTCTCCCATATTAAAGTTATAATCATCTAGTACCAAAAAATCCTATTAATTATGTTAACTGGAACTACATTAAATGTTCCTATTATTTTGGGTTCTTCATTTTTTTTAATATACTGTGCTCACTCAAATTAGATTTTTAATCAAAATATCTCCCTCTTTTCCACCTTGCCACCAAATTGTACTTATTTTCTAATTCAAATTAACTATTGGTTTATCTTCCTGTAAAATGTAGTTTTAAAATTATAACATACACTAAAATACAGAAATTTAAAATCATCTTATTTATTAAACTCCATGTTATTTTAATATTTAAACTACTAAAAAAAGGTAGTGATCAAATGACACATTTAAGAAATAACAAATGTGAAATAAAGTGTCAATCTGTTGTAAATAAAACTAGAAGTATGGAAATTTGAATTTTTTATTATTTGTTACAGGATGGAATCACTGGAGGGGGTGGCTGTCATAATACCAAGAATATTTCCATAATTAAGACTTATGGCGACAAAAAGTTCTTTAGGTAAAAAATGAATTTATTCCTTGACAATGTGCATAAATAAGATGTTTATAACATTTCACCAAAAAGGTCAAGTTGTATACTTACTATGATCAACTGTTTTTCATCAGCTTTCTCTGCTTCTTTTAGTTTCAATTCTTTTGGAATTGTTATCTCCAAATGGGAATTACACTTAGGCCAAGAATGATTTGGTGGTATCTCCCTTTAAAAAAACAACCAACCAAACAAACAAACAAAAACTATTAAATGTTATAGATCCATATCACTTCAAATCACTGGTAGGAAAAAAAAACCCTTATTTTCTATACAACACTGACAAATATCAATGCCAAGGGGGGGAAAATAACCTTTTAAAAACCAAAACAGGGAAGGAAACCCAAAGAAACAACTAACTTGCATCAAATAAACAAAAAACTGCAGCACTAACTATAGTATGAGTAAGTTTTACATTTCATAGTTTTAGCAATTTGAGTCACTACAGTTTGTCCTAAATACTATTTTCAGTAATGAGCTAAAGCTAAAAAATCATACTAATTTAATTTTGAAATTAAAGACAACAAAAAGCTTTTAAGCTACTGAAAACACTTTTACATGCTGCTAATACTCATATCATGGGGGTTTTGGGGAAAAAGGAGCATTCTCAAACACTGTTGCTGGGAGTATAAGACACAACCAATTTGCAGGGAAATTTGGCAATGCAGGTTATAGTCCTATAGCTATGAATTTATCCTAGATATAGTCACATAAGTGGACAAAGATATATGTGTTTATTGCAGGACTTTTTTTTTCTAATAGGAATAAACTAGAAACAACCAAAGTTTCTATAAAGTAGAGAATTGTTAAACAACGGAATATTCACACAATGATATCTATTGCAGAATTTAAAAGAATGAGGAAGGAATGTAGAAAAGATGCCCATAACACATTAAGTAAAAAAATAAAAGCTACAAAATAGTATGTACAGACATAGAAAAAACTAAAATGAAAAGAGAACTTGTATCACCTCTATGTGAAAAACTGAGGGTTACTAGCACAACCTTTCAGGGGAAAAAACCCCAAACTCAAAACTTACAGGTATAAAATCCTTAAGTTCTCAGATTTATACTTATATTAAACTAATACCTTACCTGTTATCACTGGTCTTAGATGTTTGGTTAGTGAGTATATTGTGCTGTTTGGGAGCTGAACCTGTGATTTAATCAAAAGATGGGTTATGTACTAAGCCTTTGTATTAGCTCTCCACCTAATGGTTAAAAATTATAATAAAGACAAAACCTCAGTGCACTAAATGCTTTATTTTTAATAAACACCATTTGATAAAATTAGAGCCCCTTCCTAGAAATTACTCTTCAGAGAAGAGGCAAAAAGGCTCTACAGAGCTGCAAAGAGATCTAATGGTAGATCAAGTTTGTCTCTAGTTTCACCAATAATTACTAGCACTGAACAATAAAGGAAACTGTTTAAATGCTTGCATAATTATACAATCGCTAAATGGAAATAAATGAAAACATGTTTAAAAAACCCTGTAGGACTTCCCTGGTGGCACAGTGGTTAAGAATCTGTCTGCCAATGCAGGGGACACGGGTTCGATCTCTGGTCTAGGAAGACCCCACATGCCATGGAGCAACTAAGCACGTGCGCCACAACTACTAAGCCTGCATTCTAGAGCCCGTGAGCCGCAACTACTGAAGCCCGTGAGCCTAGAACCCGTGCTCCACAACAAGAGAAGCCACTGCAATGAGAAGCCCGAGCACCGCAAAGAAAAGCAGCCCCTGCTCATTGCAACTACAGAAAGTCTGCGCACAGCAATGAAGACTCAACATAGTCAAAAATAAAATATAAATAAATAAATTTATAAAAAACCAAACCCAAACAAAAAAACCCCTGTAGTCTCTGGAGTTTTAATCACATTACTAATCAAATAATGCAATAATCAATTTATTTTCTAATGAATAAATGCATTTCTTGTGTTCATAGTATACTTCCCCTTCCCCCACTAAGAGAAAAGGTTAAATGACATGCAATGGAAGCAATTATCTGAACTCAATATTTTGCTCCAAGTGTATCTTTCCTTTACCAGAGAGAAACAACAGAAATTAGGAATTTCTTTTCTGTTTTTTCCTGGTGCTTCATCTGATAAAGGTGAACTAATCCCCATCCAAGAGTTCAAATAATACTTGCCCAATTTTTTTTTTTTTTGGCCACATCACACAGCTTGCGGGATCTTAGTTCCCGGACCAGGGGTTGAACTTGGATCCCAGCAATGAAAGTGCCGAGTCCTAACCACTGGGCCGCCAGGGAATTCCCCCCAAAATTTTCATAAGTTTACAAAAATAAAGTCTTTTTATGGTATAAGTGGACAAACTGCAGCAACTGATTCAATTCTTAATTCAAAGATAGAATTACTAAGATGGAAAACTGAGTAATTAAGGGTTAAAGATAAGAACCTGAAGTGGTAAAGCACAGTCATTTATACTTCAGAAATAAACTGCTACCACTAATTTAAGCAATTCATTAAGTAACACTTCTCCAGAAAGTAAGTCCACAAACAAAAGACTGAAAAACAAAAGAATTTTTGGTAGGGAATCAAAGAATCATCTTAAGTATTGTAAACAAGCCAATCAACAGAAGCAATTCTCCCCCTTCAAAGAATGGTGATAATCACACATCAGAAAAACATAATGGTTAAAAGAAGGATTTAACAGGCTTATTTGATAGTGGATATAGTTTACTGTTATGCTGACAAAAATATGTCTGACCACTGTGAAATCCAAACAATATTTTCAAAGTATTACCTGGAAATTTACTCTCCCCTGTATCAATTTTTGCTTGACTGAGCAGAGTTGAAACAGTAGTAGTGGTATTTTCCACTGGATTGTTTTCAAGCTTAGATTCCAAACATAGGCTGCAATTCTAAGCACATATAATTCAAAACGTTAATATTTGCTTTTATATCAACCTTTGGGCCTTATCCCAATACTTTCAGTGAATTTTAGCACTATACTAAGAAAATTTAAGATAATATATGGAGTAATTCACACAGATATGCCTTAAAAGTCTCTTTATGATCTCCCTACAAGCTACCCTTCTCAGCATCAACTTCTATTATTCCTCTTCACACTAGATCGAAAAATTTGCCTCTCCAACAGATATATTTCATATTTGCCTGGCTCTATACTTTTTCTGAGTTTCATCTACCTAAACCTCACTGTCCATTAATAGCCACTGTAACATCTCACTACTGAGCACTTAAAATGTGGTTAGTATGACTGATTTATTACAAATGTAAATCACACACCAGATTTTGAGGTGTTAGTACAAAAAAGTAAAACACCTCAATTTTTAAAATTCATGACACATTGAAATAATAGTATTTTTATATGACAAGTTAAATAAAATCTATTAATTTTACTAATTTCTTTTTTTTTTAATGTGGCTACCGGAAATTTTTAAACGATTTATGTGGCTCACATTATATTTCTACTGGATAGTGCTAATCTAGAACACCTTACCCCCTGTATAAACTCAAGTCATTACTTAAATATTAACCTCTCCCATGAAGTCTCCTCCAAGTTTTCCCATCCCCTTTCCCCAAATTTTCCATCTACTTCATCTCTGTCTTTCATGCCCTTATCACTTCCTATTTTGAATTAGTTATTTGTTTTTTATTAATCTCCTATAACTCTTAAGAGCAAAGACTATTATTATTATATTTATCTTTGTATTCCCAAGAGCCCCTAAATCAGGACTCTGTCAAAGCAGATACTCAATAACTACCGAAGGAAAATACTAGAAACTCTATCAACATTAGCTGTCTCAAAGAAATGGAAATGAGGAGGTGAACAATTAACTTTCTATGTGTATGTATGTGTGTGTATCTATCTATATTGTGATTGTTACAAAGAACATGTAACATTATTTGTGAACATTACATTTTTGAAAAATGAACATTATATTTGTCATTAAAAAGCAGAAAAATTAAAAACAGTAAGAACAATTACATGTTACTACTTAATCTCCATTAGGAAGTTAGTAAATTACTAGTTTAAAAAACAAATCATAAAATAATTGAGCTTTAAAATTCATAAAATCCAAATAATTTAAATTCAGGCCAAAATTTTCAGAGAAGGGCTATCATATGCTCAGCCTTATCAACCATCATCATTTTTCAGTACTGCTGAGACTGACACCATATAATAAAAAGAGCAAAATTACAAGCAGCCACAGAAAAAGTTTTCAAATGATTTAAGGATTGTTTCTTACATTCTCCTATTTCCCCAAGTATAAATCTAGATTCTGAAGCCAGCCAATCGCAGTTCAAAGCCTGACTCCATCACTTACATGGATCTCTAAGCCTCACTTAAATCTCTACGCTTCACTCTCCTTACCTGTAATATATGGATAATAACAGAAGTCATGCTGTAGAATGTGGTGACAATTATATGAAGCTCTCCTCTGCCTAACAAAGAGGCAGTGTTCACTAAACAAAAGCTACTATGATGGCTGAACTAAAACATCCTAGCGTTTATGGGAAGAAGAGAAATTTCTAAGTGACTAGTACAATGTAAATTCCTTAAAGGCAGGAAACATCATCTTCTGTAGCCTTATTAGCACAGTGTCTCGGATGCAGCAGGCAATCAAATATGTCTTGAAATGATGTGGTCACCACCACATCTCCTGACCACTCTGTGATAGTAATCACATTGTTGGTATCAGTGAAAAAGTTGGAAACAACCTAAAAGTGCTTTAACAGAGGAAAACATAAATAAACTGTGGTATATTCCTTTACAACTATTAAAATACCCATGTATTAATAAATATCAAATGTGCTGATTGCACAAAATCAGTTGAAAAACATGTATATATAGAATATACACATACAAACCATGTTAGCATTTATGTAAACGTTTAAAATACAAACAATGTTAAGTATTCTTTATAATAGATATATATACATACACAGTGAAATCAAAAATAAAAACATAAAATATTCATACCAACTTTAGAAGCATATTTAACTCTGGGGAGAGAGGTGAATGGAAAGTAGAGTGAAGTATGGTCTTTATATCTGTAATGTACTTTTCTTATTTTAAAAAACCTGAAGTCAATAAAATGTTAATTTTTGTCAAATTTGGGTGGTAGTCACTAGTATAATATTGGTCTCTCTAGTATTCTAAACGTTTGAAACTCAAGACTTCTCATGTAAATTTGTACGTAAATAAAAATTTTAACACAAGTTTCATAGGACTGTTTTTCATAACATTCCTCAAGATAGAGGTGTTGCATAAATCCAAAGCACATCTCAGTAAAAGCAGCATTATAGAAGATCAAAATAATGTAGTCTAACTAAATATCTCTATTCTAGTAGTTAGTCCAAAGGAATGGATTTCCTATTTCTCAATATATTCCCCATAAACTATCTGCCTTCTGAGTTTTGACAGGCACTTATGCAGCAAGGAGTTAAAAGATCCACTCTGCAACTACACCTGGAGCGTAGCTGTCAATTTTTGACAAAAGCACACCCTGAAGAGAAAGCCACTCTGTGTCTGCAAGAGGCCACACTTATTATTCATTCTACCACTCACTACTTACTTTAATTACTATCACTATTTGAATAATTGTCTTCTAATTGATGCTTTCATTCACGTTTGCACAGAAAATAAAATCTAAGAGTACCACATTGTATCTGTTCCCTTTAAGTTCTTTCCATTTTAGTCCACGAGAGTAGCCAATAATCTATTTTCGGGGCTTCTGACACAAGCCCTGACTCCTTACTCAAATTTGCTTCTAGACCCAAATGCCTCAAAAGAGAACTTTAAATCACTCCTAAAACTTTAAGGTGACTTGACTTTCTTCTCCACCCACGATTTTTTTCTCAAATGATCTTCTAACATTCAGAGTATCTCACTGTAGAAAGAATGATGGGCTGAGAATCAGAACACCTGAATTCAAATCTATTTGCACAACCAAACATGTGACCTAACCCACATTCCTCTATTGCTTTCAGCTTTCTCATTATAAAATTAAATAACTAAAACAAATGGGTGGAGTTCTAAAAATCAGTATTATACAGCGCTAAAGTTTGACACACATAAAATTTCTGCCTATTGCTTTTACATATTGGTATTTTACCTATGATTTAATTTGGAAAGAAATGGGCTCAGCTGCTTTTACAAGGTTTCAAAACTACTTCTCAGATAATCATTCAAGTTTCTTCCAGCTATTTAGGTTCTGTTTTTCAATTTACTTTTCCATTTTAAAAATTCTTGGCCACTACAATTTTATTCTTAGCCTGAGGTCTGAATTATTTACATCTTTCAGACATTTTATTTGCCAATTTTTAAAATGGCCACACAAGTCAAACCAAAAGGCATCTCTACTATTAGAAATGTTTAATTTTTAAATTTTATCAGGTGCGGAAAGTTGATTTGGGCCAGCTGAAATTAATTTTAACAACTTGGTCAGAATTGGGCCCAACTTCAGAATTGGGCCCAACTTCAAGTTCTACATTTTAGTCACTCACTATGAAACATAGTTTCTGTGGTTACAATTAATAGAAAAAGGAAACAAATCAGTGTGTTAAAGGAAAAAGAAAAGCTAGACTTCAACAGGTTTATGCTTCACATAAAATTAAAATGAAGGGTGAAAATAAGGAAACAATGACAAGCATTCATGTAAATGAAACATCTAAAGGCGTAAGTTCTATCACTCACTACAAGATTGGGTTAATAAAACAGAATTCCTTAACATTTTACAACTTAATTCTTAAGTTAAAATATGTTGTAAACACTTAAATCTTATCAGAAAGTACTCAGACACCTCTATGTACATGATGAAAATACATTACCTTATCTGGCGTTGATTCAAAAGAATCTTTCTTCTGGTTATCCAATGGCTGATCAGGAGGTGGTTTTATCTGATTACCCAAACAACAATTTTCAGGAGGCTTTTTGGGGGTTTTATTAATGTCAACTGTAATATCATTAAGTTTAACTTCTTCAGAATTAATTTCTTTCATTTCTTCCTGCTGGCAAGCTTTATTTTTATCATCATGTGGTTTTGACCCTAAAAATGTACTTTGAGTCACTGGATGATGCATTTCTAATGCAGGCAGTGAAAAACTGGGTCGTAATAAGCACAATTTAGGGGAAAATTGAGAGTCTAATTTATTCTGCTGCACAGAGTTAAATTTTGAGAGCTTAATTTTAGTCCAGTTGGAGTTCTTTTTAGTTGAGTTGTTTATTCCATTTAGAATACATTTCACAGGCTTTGTTTTTCTACTGGGGAAGAAACGATTACACTGAACATCCTGACTTGTTTCCTTCTGATGAAGTATTTGTCTTTCAGTATCAGTCTCTTCCAATTTTATTTCTGTAGGCTTCTCCTCCTTTACAATTTCCACTTGTGAAGATTCCTTTTTTACCTCTACAGTATCTGACTCAATTTCACCAGCAATTTCTTCACAGAGCTGGAGAATGCTCCCTCGTTTGCTCTTTCCTGCTTGCTCCAGCTCATTATCTATACTTTGTTCAGGCACTGATGGCTGTGGACTTTTTTGGGATTTTGCACTAGTATTCACTTGTGTATGAACTGACTCCTTCATCTCATTCTTTTTAGAGACCACTGAAGTAGCCACTTTTGATCTTTTTATCTCAGAAGAAGTTACAGGCACAGATTTTGTTTCCTCTTTTCTAGTATTCTTCTGAAGACACTTTTCAGATACTTTTATGCACTGAGAACTACAAGTATAAGCTGTCGGATGCTCTACTTTGCGTTTTTTTCCTTTTGGGGAATTTATTACTTCGTTAGTTACAGAATTTTCATCCTCTTTAGAATCAGACTTTATTTCCAGCACTTTTCTTTTCACGTGTTTCTGATTTGTTTTAACTTTATTAGATTTACTCTTAGTATTGCTACGGTGCTCTTTTTTTGTTGGTGGCAAACTCTGTTTAACTGCTTGAACTTGACCCTGAATGTCTCTATTACGCAGAGACCTTGTTGAAACCTCTGTTAACTGTTGTAGTCTTTGTGATCTCCGATTAAGCTGTTCATTTGATTTAGGGGTTTTGTGCACTGACTTTTTCTGAGATAATTTCTTCTGCTTTGTAGATTCTTGTTGTGAATGTCCCTTTACAGTCACCATATTTTTATTAATAGGTTTACTAGCTTTTTTATCACTGGATGCTGACCTTGTGCTCATGCATGTTCCTAATTCATCAGGCTGATTGACTTTACTTTCATTGGAAGATTTAACCAGTGATTTTATACCTTCCTTTGGACCTGATTTTTTTACTAGATTCTTTTGAGAACCTTGAATTTGTGTTTCTAGATTCTTATCTTCACTCTTTTTAATAACACTGGAGGAATTTTCTTTTGATTTCTCCTGAATGGACATCATTCCTGAGTAAGGTCCTCCTTTTCTGAGTAGTTTTTGAGATTTTGTGTCCTGGTAGTTGTAAATGTTGAATGTCTAGTATTATTACTGAGCAGCAGGTATTAAAAATCAACTGAAACTGATATACATTTTCAACAAAAATACTAGTTTGCGAAGATTTCTGTCATCCTTATGACATGAGAAAAGCTGGCATGAAGGCTGAAAGATATTTGCTTTACTTTGGATGAGGCAATAGAAATTTGAGGAAAATTTAAATCTAATCTGATATTTTCAGAACTTTTTATGAAAAAATTTTAATTCAAGTTTGATCTACTTTGTTAATTTTATTCAATTAATATCAGTTTTCAGGCCTAGCCCTATTACTGGAGGAGTTATTTATCACTGACCTGTCTGTTTTGACAAAGTTTTTGAAAACTTTTTTCTTCTGAAGTCTACAGTTATTGGACTTTGATTCATTGGAAACATGTCTTACAGTTAACACGTTTCTTTCCTTGTTTGTTGAGTCTGTTCGTTTAAAGTTCTTATATAACCACTTCCGTTTAATAAAACAGTCTATTAATATAGATTTCCTTTTGTGCTGCCATTTCTGGAAAAATAAAAAAATAAAAATTAAATTTTGTACAATTCAAGAAATTTAGCAATGCTGATACTATACAGAAATAACCATGACTTACATAAACTCTAACTTCTCTTTTTGAATTATTTAGTCTGTATACATAAGGCTAACAGAAAAAAGTATCCCAAGCACAGCCTTATAAATAATGGAAAACCTGTCTCATGTAAGCATAGAATAGTTGAAAATCAATCTATTCCTTGAGGTTACTTACATTTCCTTTCCCACAAGAAAGAATTGATCTTTCAGCCACCATAACTCATAAAAATTTGACAAAATCATTCCTTATAATTTCCTTTCAACACATTACACAGCACCTAAAAGTAAAATATTTTAAAATGTTTAAAAGGTACAAAGATGTAATCATTCATTTACATCTCATCAAATCTATTAACCAACATGTTAATCTACACTCCGTAATTTTATCCTATCCTACCATTAGGCTTCAGAGTTCAGTTTACACATAGCACTTAATTTTAGTATTTCTAACCTGAAGTAAACTATGGTACATGCATCCAATGAAACATAACGTTTCTATTTCATTGATGAAATCCATTTTATGTTTTTAAAAACGTTTTAAAATACAAAGAACAATTCATAATATAGACATATAATGGTTAAGCAAGTAAAATCCTATTTTGAGGAAAAACAGTACACATAAATAACTATATTCATAGAAAAACAGTGACACACAGTAAAAAAGGCAGATTTAAACACACACATTTACCTCTACTCTCATGTAATACCCACTAAAAAAAAAAAGCAACAGATTAAAACGAAGCAAGACAAAACCATAAACTCAAAGGATGAAGAACAAAAGTGTAGATGATAAAAATTAAACGTACAGAAGCTACAAAGAAGGACAAATAACTAACCTCCAGACTCAAAAAAAACCTGATCTTAAACTAGAAACAGAGGAAAGCCAAGTGAGAAGCAGCTCTACGTAAACCACAGAATCCCTCAAGAAGCAGAAATTGGCAGTACCAGGAGATGGGATATGGGGAGGAAAATGGGACTCACAAAAGGGGAAAGACTGCCACACAGCCTTTCCAATTACTACCACCCAGAAGACTACCCCTGCATCACTCCCTAAAGACTGGTATAAATTTTTGGAAGGAGTAAAACAAAAGGTCTTTGGTCTGTGGGCTCAACAGTCACAGCTGAGGGAGGAAGAATCATACCGACAACAGAGGGAGTAAGTAGCAGTACACATACTGATTACTGAAACCCAGTCCTTCCACCCCAAACCCTCTTTGCCTACTCAGAGATTCCCAGAGGACAGCAGCCTAGCCTATGCCTTCTAGGAAGGAGACTAAAAGATAATTTTCTAATGAATTTGACAAAACTAGAGAAAAGACCTAAAAAATACTGATAGGGCCCACAGTCATTAATCATAGACATACACACACTCAGCCTACCAGCAGGAGACTACCCACCATCCAAACAGTTTCCAATTAGTTTTTAGTGTCTCACTTGTAACCACGAGCAAAACCAGAAATCACCACATACAAGAGGAGACCCTTAAAAAAACAGGGAGGAAGTAGCTTGGAAGAAAAAAACAATGCACAGACAAAAACTAAAAATAAGTTAATTCATTCATGAAACAAATATATAAGAACATTCACAGTACAAAAAGGAACTCTTGAAAATTAAAACTAATATTAAAGAAATTAAAAAGTCAATAGAAGCAATAGAAGATAAAGGTAAGGAGATCTCCTATAAAGCAGAACAAAAACAGCAAGGTGGCAAATAGGAGACAAAAGAGAAGAAAAAGGACCAGCCATGCAGAACAGTCCAGTAATTCTGGTTTTAGAAAACAGAGAAAAAGCACTGAAAAAAACCAAGAATTCAAGAAATTTTCCTATAATTAAAAGACATGAGTGTCCAGATTAAAAGGGTCAAAGCATCTAGCACAATGGATAAATAAAGATTTTGAAAAGTTTGTCATGGGAATTCCCTGGTGGTCCAGTGATTAGGACTCTGCGCTTTCACTGACGAGGGCGCGGGTTCAATCCCCAGTTGGGGAACTGCACGGTGCAGCCAAAAATAATAATAAAAATAAAACAACCCCCCCCATAAAAAACAGATTAAAACTTGGGAGAATTTTAGTATTTGTCTTGAGTGGGAAAGGCTTTCAAGCCTTGTCACAAAATTCAGAAGTCAAGTTTGAGGGATAAAACTGGGGGAAAAATACTGGCAAGAAACAGCATAAGCTTATCACCATAATATATTCACCGGAAGTAAACCACAGATGGCTGGTGAAATAATAACAGAATAACAAATTAGAACCAAATCAAAATACCATTTTTTACCTATCAGACTGGCAAAAGATCAAGAAGTTTAACAACAGTCTTAGCAAGGATTTGTGACAGGTTACTCTCATATTACTGCAGGTGATTCAATGTCTATGCAGGACAATTTGTCAATATCAATCAATATTATATTATAAATGCTAAATATCAATCATTTTCAAGACTTTATATTACAGATATACTTGCACAAGTGCACAGACACAAGTAAATACAAAATTCACTGGAACACTGGATCAACAGACTGAAAATCCACAACATCCATCATTATAAACTGCTTTATAATTAATGATACACTCATACTATATCATGCAATCATGTCAAAGCAGAGATGAGATTCAACTCAATTCCAGGCAAAATTCCCACAGGCTTTTTATACAGAAACTGACAAGCTGATTTTAAAACTTATGTGAAAAAGCAAAAAAAAAAAAAAATCCACATACAATAGTCAAAGCCCTTTTAAAAAAAACTCAAAATACACTATCTGATTTCAAGACTTACTAAAAAGCTACAGTAATCAAGACAAAGGGACACAGAGATCAATGGAAGAAAATCCAGAAACAGACCCATACATTTACGGTCAGTTGAAAGAAACGTCTGAAAAAAACAGTGTTGGAACTACTGGATATCCAAGTAGAAAAAAAAAAAAACAACACCTCACACAACACACAAAGCTAAGTTGAGACTGATCACAGACATAATGTAAAACTATAAAACTCTAAAAGAAAAAAAAAGGCAAAAATCTTTGAGATTCTGAGGTAAACAAAGATTTTTTAGGAAGGAATACTGTTCATTCCACACAAAAACTTGTCCAAAAATCTTAAAAGCAGCTTTGTGTACAATAACCAAAATCTGAAAACAACCCAAAAGTCGGGTGAATGGATAAACAAAAATGTGGTATGTCAACATAACAGAACACTCTGCAATCAAAGGCAACAAACTACTGGAACCACATGAACGAACTTCACAATCATGATGCTGAATGAAAAAGGCTAGACACAAAGACTATACAAACTATGATTCTACTTTTTGGAAATTCTAGAAAAGGCAAACTTATCTACAGCAACAGAAAGCAGATGAGTCACTGCCTGGGGTCAGGAGTGGAGGGAGAGATAGACTTTTGGAGGTAATGGAAATGATCTCTATCTTGATTATGATGGTGGTTCCAAGAGTGTGTAAATCTGTCAAAATCCACCAAATTGTACACTTTAAAAGGGTGCACTTTATTATACATAAATTATGCTTTAATAAATCTGTCTAAAAAATAGAACTGTAAGTAACTTATATGGACCTAGAACCGAGAAACACTGTTAAGCCAAATAATGCAAGATGCATAACAGGGTGTACTTCCCTTTGTGTAAAAAGAAAAAAAGGGAGACAGTGGGAGGAAGGAAAGATATAGAAACATATGCTTGTTTAGGCACACAAAAGGTATGGAAGGATACACAAGAAACTAGTAATAGTGAAGACTTCTGGGAAAGAGAACTATGGGACCAAGTGTGAGAAGTGTGACAAAAAAAACCTTTTCACTAACTACCCCATTTTATTATGTAAACATATAATCTTGTCAAAAAAAGTTACATTTCTCTGAATATATTAAATATATTTGGCATACTTGACCAACTGTCTTTGAAGGCACTGAACTGTAATAGTACAGGCCACTTACCTTCCTGAAATGAAAATCACATAACTTTTTTCTTCAGGTTGATGGACGATGCTTCTAAGGAATGATGCTTCTAATAATTTACTGTGTGTTTTCTGGTTGTTAATCTTAAAAAAAAATAATAATAATTCTATAGCTAAAGTAAAACAATCTATAAAAAAACATGAGAATACAAAAATGGTATTGTCTATTAACTGTCTATTAAGTATTAAAACAACTTAGGGATGAGAGGAAGATGGCGGAAGAGTAAGACATGGAGATCACCTTCCTCCCCACAGATACACCAGAAATACATCTACACGTGGAACAACTCCTACAGAACACCTACTGAACGCTGACGGAAGACCTCAGACCTCCCAAAAGGCAATAAACTCCCCACGTACCTGCGTAGGGCAAAAGAAAAAACAGACAAAAGAATAGGGACGGGACCTGCACCAGTGGGAGGGAGCTGCGAAGGAGGAAAGGTTTCCACACACTAGGAAGCCCCTTCGTGGGCGGAGACTGCAGGTGGCAGAGGGGGAAAGCTTTGGAGCCGTGGAGGAGAGCACATCAATAGGGATGCAGAGGGCAAAGCGGAGAAATTCCTGCACAGAGGATCGGTGCCGACCAGCACTTACCAGCCCGAGGCTTGTCTGCTCACCCGCCGGGGCGGGCAGGGCTGGGAGCTGAGGCTCGGGCTTCGGTCGGAGCGCAGGGAGAGGACTGGGGCTGGCGGCGTGAACACAGCCTGCAGGGGATTAGTGCACCACGGCTAGCGGCTAGCCGGGAGGGAGTCCGGGGAAAAGTCTGGACCTGCCAAAGAGGCAAGAGACTTTTTCTTCCCTCTTTGTTTCCTGGTGAGCGAGGAGAGGGGATTAAGAGCGCTGCTTAAAGGAGCTCCAGAGACGGGCGCGAGCCGCGGCTAAAAGCGCGGATCCCAGAGACGGGCATGAGACGCTAAGGCTGCTGCTGCCGCCACCAAGAAGCCTGTGTGCGAGCACAGGTCACTATCTACACCCCCCTTCCAGGGAGCCTGTGCAGCCCGCCACTGCCAGGGTCCCGGGATCCAGGGACAACTTCCCCGGGAGAATGCACGGCGCGCCTCAGGCTGGTGCAACGTCATGCCGGCCTCTGCGGCCGCAGGCTCGCCCAGCACTCCATGCCCGTCCCTCCCCCCGGCCTGAGTGAGCCAGAGTCCCCAAAGCAGCTGCTTCTTTAACCCGGTCCTGTCTGAGCGAAGAACAGACGCCCTCCTACACGCAGAGGCATGGCCAAATGCAAAACTGAGCCCCTGGGAGCTGTGAGAACAAAGAAAAGAAAGGGAAATCTCTCCCAGCAGCCTCAGAAGCAGCGGATTAAAGCTCCACAATCAACTTGATGTACCCTGCATCTGTGGAATACA